GGGTTTGAACGAGGACGCTTTAATCGATCTTCTTGACGATACTACTTTATGTCATATGCTCATGTCAAATGGCTTACGACAACTCAATATTTTTACTGCTCCAGATCAATCAAATTTATTAGACATTGCTTATTTAATCGTCGAGCGATTACCTTATTTGCAAGTCATAGAAGTAACTACTACTGACGATCAAATCGTTAAAATATCACATATACTTATCAGTGGTCTCAAGAAATTAAATTTTCTCATTATTAGAGGCTGTATTCAACATGATAAAATCAATGAAAAAAGATTGCGTGATTTGCAAAATTCAAACACTCGTTCTTTTCGAACGGAAATTCCTAAGACAATGGATGATGATACAGTTTGCATATGGCTATAATAAAATGAAACTACGAATATTTCTTTGTTATACTTAAATTTCTTTTTGTAAAAAAAATCAAAAGAATGTCTTGAAATACAAATAAAATGAAATTTTTTTTCAATTTTGTATTGTATGTTATTCATTGCATAAAAGACTTATAGGAAAGTTAATCATTTTTATTTTTAATAACACAATCAAACGGCGAATTAATTGGACTTATTTTCTTCCACATTTTGGTTTATTTTTTTCTATTTTGAAAACATCGCGGTTACATGTGACATCTTGCCGAGTCGAGAAGTATATTCTGTCCTCTAAAATTATCTATTAGTTTATATATATCTTTTCGAACGAAACAATGTATGTAAATTATCTAACCATGGACTGATCTCTTTCTTTTCTTATGATCACATGACCATTCGCCATCTTCGTCATTACTATATAACCGTTCCTCATTCTAACTGATCATATAAATGTATATTGTTGCTAATATAAATTTATCGTATCCCTAGTGGAACATTTTGTAAACAAGATCTTGACCAAGATACAAGATACAGAAAAGTGAGTAGATCTTGGTAAATTTAGGTAACTTTTCTGTACCTTGTATATTGGTCAAGATCTTATTTACAAGATCTAAGATCTTGCTTACAAGATGTTTCACCAAGGATGCTTTATATATATCGTATAACTATTGTATATGGGGAAATAATGAATTAATTGTTATTCTCGCTCAAATATAGATATATTTAATTGTAACAGTGAATTTTTGTGGATTTTTATCTTTAACCTCTTGGATACCGCTTGTCTTCAATTGAAGATATGCAGAACGAAAGAATTTATTTTTTCGTTCTGTAGTGTCGATAAACAGCTGTGAAACGAAATGTTCATTGGCATAGCTATATCGATCCATGTTATATGTACGACAAAATATGCATGAATACAGCTGATACAAGACGATCGAACGCAAGAGAGAGTGATTTTTCCATTTTTCCATATAATAGTAGAGAACGCAAGAAATCACCGGTATCCAAGAGGTTAATGGCTAACAAATTGATCGTAGTTCTTGCTGATAAAGCAGGAAATAGAATTTTGGGCAAGGTTGTTTCGTTAGCGTGAACTTAACACCGTGTGATAGACGTGCTCCACCTGAAACAATCGAAACAATGAACATAGTGAATATTTTACCGTCATCAATAATAATTAACATCGATCCAAAGTATACAAGTACAGGACAAGCTACATATCTTCACAAAACGTTGTTTTATGTATCAGCAGCACTTCATGATGCAATAACAGGATTTCCTGTATATGTTAATGGACATAGTCGACTAGCAATTAGTCAACACAATTGGAATGAAATGCATGTATTATATATCGAAGGTTAGTGAAGATCCTTTTTTTAATGTAATGCAATATACTCTTTTTTATTTAGCACCTACAGCAAATTCACTTGTACCACCACAAGGTGGTCCACAACCTCCACAAGGTGCACAAGGTGGTCCACAACCTCCC